CACAGGGCTTGGAGTCAAGAAGACCTGAGCTCAGATGTGACTTCAGACACTTACCTGCTGTGTGACTCTGGGCAAGTCACTTTACCTCCGATTGTCTCAGTTTCCTCATCTGTAAAATGGGGATAAAAATAGCACCTTTCTCACAAGTTGTTGTAAGGATCAGATTAGATAATAATTGTAAGGCTATTAGCACTGTGCCTGGCACCCACTAAGCACTATAGATATGTTAGTTGTTGTCATTATTAAATTCACTCAGCAAACACACACACTTACTGTGTGCAAAGTACCAGAGCTGCAAAAGCAAAACATGAAACCATCGCTGGCTGCTGGACACTTACATTCTACTGGGGGATGTCCCATTTATGTAGACAAGTATGCTAGGAGTTAGAGCATGAAGAAGACCAAAGGGAAATGACCCAAATTGGCTAGGACTGTTGGACGTAGAAGAGAGCCTCATCAGCTGGGTAGGGAGGTGTGTAGACTTATATATACCTACACATATGTGTAAGTGCACGTATATGTGTCTCTTCAGAATAGGTCTATAAATGTAAACAGAATAAATGCAAAGGAACAGTTACAAAAGTGGCGCCCAAGTGAAGGTTTGGGGAAGGGAGGGCTTGAGCTGCCTTCTGAAGGAAATGAGGGAGGGAATGGGTGCCTGTGTGGGTAGGGCCTGAGGAGGAGGCTGGAGTGCGAGCCTTGAAGATAGAGAAGGATTCTTGGCGTTCTTGTAGTTAGAGGATTACAGGGAGGCTGCTGGATCCACAGAAGCAGGAGATGGGGTGGGGTGGGGGAAATGTGTTGTTGGACTAGAGCAGAGGTGCCAGACACAAATAGAATCAGGACTACTAAGCCATATTCACATGAACATGATGTTTTATTGTGTTTTTATTTCTTTTGTTCAGAATTTTAGTCGAATTCTAGCCACCAGGGGAGTCTTGTGGTGGGCATTTGACACCTCCGGGCCAGAACGTTGAGTGCATGCAGGGAACCAAGGGCACGCTATGCTGGGAGATGGGGTAGAGTTGGCTTGTAGAGGTTTCAGATGCTCGGCCAAGGCCCCCCCACCCCCAAAGCAATAAGATTTTGTCCCTAAAAAATCACTGAAGGTTGTTAGGTTGTTGAGTAAGGGAGCGTGAACTGGTGAGAGCTGTTATTAAATTAATTTAGGGGAGCTTTTTGGAGGGTGGAGAGGTTAGAGGTTGGAAGACCAATTCAGAGGCTATGACAAAATCCTCCCCTCTCCTCCCTGCAGAGCAATGGAGCCCATAGAGCATCCTGGGCTAGTGACAGTGGAAATCTGGGCATGAATCCTCTAAAACCTCCTGAAATGTTGTCATCCAACTTCTGCTTCCCATCATGAAGAGTTTAGGTATGCCACCAGGCTGTTCATTCTGCTTTTTGGAGGACCCTAGTTGGTGGAAAATTCTTTCTTGTGTTCATTGTACCTCATACTTCTTGTTCCGATCTCACTAGCTTTCTCCTGTCAGCTCTTCAGATAATCAGAGGACTTGGGTCATCTCCCCCACCCACCCAGGCAGGTCTCTTCTCCAGGTTAAAACATTCCCAGGTCCTTCACCTCTCTTCTTCTGTTCTCTGACCATCTTGGTATCCCTTCTCTGGGCACATTCCAGTTTGGAGCTATCCACAGAAAACATGGCGGTTACAACTGACCAGATCTCAGGAGTGACTGAGCCTGTAGAATTCTCCTATTTCTACACTCTATACCTTTACTGTAGGCTTAGTTAAACTGCATTAGATGTTTTTAGTAGCCAACTCGCACTGCTGCTTCATACTGTCAGCTGAAACCCCCAAGTCTTTTTCACATGAAATAATGTTTGTTTTTGAAATCTAAGCACAGAATTCTTTGTTTAAGCCTGTTCAGTTCCATCTCATTCAATTTGCCCCATCATCCCAGCCTGTCAAAGTCTTTTTGGATCCTGATTCTGTTATCCAACATATTAAGCTACCTCTCTCAGCTTTGTATCGTTGACAAATCTGATAAGCTTGCCTTTTATGTCTTCATCTAAGTTATTAAAAACGTTGAGTACATCAGGACCAAGGACAGATTCCTCCTGTATGCCACTAGAAACCTCCCTCCAGGGACATTGATGTTGATTCATTAATTAGCATATATTGAGTACAGTCACAGAGCCAATTACAAGCATAACTCCCATTATCTAGCCCACACTTCCTTGTCTCATGATTCTTTCACTTCTTGCTGAAATCAAGGCACATTTTGACCATCGAGAAAGGAAATGAAGTTAGCTTGGCACTAGTGATTATGATAAGCCCATGCTAGCTTCCTGTACTCACCTGAGTGATCAAGAACCATCCTCTTAATTCCATCTTTATGCAGTTTTGCCAGGTTCAACATCAAGCCCTCCATCCTATAGCTTTCATGATCCACAATTTCTTCTCTTCGGAAACTGGCATCTTGGCTAGTCAAGCTTCAGGCTCTGATGCCCCATTTCCCAGGATCCCTCACAGATTGCCAACAGCAATGCAACAAGTATATTTCCAAGCTATCCCCAAACCCCAGGGTGTAATTGCTCTAGACTAGGAGACTTAGAATAAGGCGCCTAAACTCAGGCAAGGCAGCAAGGGGTCCCCATCTATCATGGCTTCCATTTCCCTCTTAGCCAAATTGAAGTGACCCCTTCCTATCTGAAGTTCATTCCCCTTGATAGCAATCATAACTACAACCCTCCGATTTTGCTTCCCTTTTCTTTCATTGCCATCGTGCCGTGTATCACAAGCAGTGGGGCTGACTCCTTTGTGGCTTTTCTCCTTGCTGTGAACATACAGGTGCACACTGCCTGGGACTGTATCATCACAACCAGAGGTACAAGCGGCGTGTACTGGAATGAGTGCTGACTCTGGAGTTGGGAGCCCGGGCTCAGACCCCGGGGGGCTTCTCTTGCTCCTGGCTGTGTCTGACTTGGAGGAAGTTACTTAATGTCTTTGGGCCTTGGCTTTCTTGTCGGAAAAATGAGTGGTTGGACTAGATGACCCCCCAAGGTCCCTTAGAACTCTAGAGTTAGGGTTCTGTGGTTTAACTGACATTCTTGGAGCCGTCCGTGCCGGGTTGCTCAGCCTTTCCAGGCCTCGTCCTGGCCTTTCGGCCCTCTCGGCCTTGGTGCTAATAGTTTTCTGGGCCTGAAACCTTCCTTTACCCCTCCCATCCCCCCATCTCTTCCAATGAAATCTTCAAAACCTAGTTCAGCTGCCAAGTCCTACGTAATCACTTTTCCTTATTTCTCCCACCGTTGGCTATGGGTGAGATCTCCCTTCCTGAGGGTCTTAAACCCCCTTTGGGCTTCTCCTTTGTATACCTGGAGTCTATGCCTACACCTGCATTCATACCCATGGATATATGTATCTGTGTGACCACTGGCATAGTTAATAGTTATCTGTGTGCCTGTTCAGGCCTCCTCCCACCCCTTCCTTTCAGGACTGTAAGCTCCTTGTTTACCTTTTTTTTTTTTTGTGCTAGGCAATGGGGTTAAGTTACTTGCCCAGGGTCACACAGCTAGTGAGTGTTCTGTGTCTGAGGCCTGATTTGAACTCGGGTCCTTCTGACTTCAGGGCCAGTGCTCTAGCCACTGCCCCACCTAGCCGCCCATTCCTTGTTTCACCTTTGATCTTCACTGCCTGACATAGCACCTACACAGTGAAATCATATGCTTTAAAAAATGGCATGTGAATGGAAATATAATATTTAGTATGGAGAAAATAAGATGAAGGGAAGCTTATGAGGGGAGGACCTTTGATATTGTTTACTCTGCCTCCTCAATTGACATATGTGGAAACTAAGGCATATTGAGAGGTGAGGTGATTGGCAGAGTTAGTGTCACACAGGTCCCTTCCAGTGGGAAAGCTTTTTCAGCATCTTCTTTTTATTGATAAATTTTTTGCATCACCTTCTTTTCAAATTTTTATCTTACCTCTATCTATCTATCTGTCTATCTGTCTGTCTATCTATCTCTTTTTCTCCCCCCTACTTCCCTACCCAGCAAGACCTCTCTTGTAACAAAGTTTTAGAGAGAGGAGAAAAGCTCGGAGAGACTGACACACCAGTTGTTTCTGACAGTGTAGGCAATATTCCACACCCATAGACCACCACCCACATCACTTCTGCAAAAGGTTGAGAGAAGGCGGGAGATGGAGCTTTGAATCCATGACTTTTCCCTGGGGGGCAGGAAACATTACACTAGAGATTCTTCAGTGGTTGGGGTTGTCCCCCCTTCTGAGGCTTCACAATCCTCCACCCGTGAGATGCTGCCTATTAAGCCCTTTGCATGCCATAAAGCACTACGTGTCAGCTGTTATTGTCATGGTTATTAACAGCAATGATCATGATTACCTGTGAAGAGCCGCAGACAATGCTAACAGGATATTTCATGGGTTAATGGTTTCCCCCACCTTATCCCCCCATAATGTTAGAGGATTCTTCTCATTTATCTTTTATAATTGATTTCTGAAAAGAAAATCAGAATGCTGGCTTTCCCAAAGGTAAACAGTGCATACCACGTGAGTAATTTTGTGGATGGATACAATTCACTTGTTCCCTGACTTGCATGAAGCAAGGGAGGGGAATTCTTCATGTTTGCTCATTGTCCAATTCTTTCCAAGCTGACATTTAGGTGAAATGTTGGGAGCTGCTCATGGGACATCTTGAACAAAACAAATGCCTTTGGCCCATTTTCAATATCAATAATCTAATGACAGTGGTATGTGTCAGAGTTGCCGAGAAGGTTCTTGGAAGCGCAGACTTTGGTCCCATAAAACCAAATATCCTGGCAGTGCTGGAAATAATGACATTAAGTGTAATTGATAGTTGATGTTTCTGAAAAAGATAAAGTTTAAGTCGCGCTCCTCCCATACATTGCCAAGTTTTCTAGCTCCACAGGGGTCTGAGGTTGTTGTTGGAATTTTCAGGAAGCAAATTAAATTAGAAAGGCTCCCAGTTTATGAGCCGGTTTGCTTGTCTGTTTCAGAAACGGGCATGTAGGAGCATGGAAGCTGGTCCTGGGGAGGATGCTGCCCCGGGGCAAAATGAACTGCCCCAGGGGTGCTGGATTACGGACTGGGGCTCGGAATCCAAGGGCTTCGTTGCACAGGAGAGCCTGCCTGGGAATATCCAAGGCAGACAGAGCTCAGTGGTAGGTGCCCATTATCCCCATCGTAACATTAAATCTATTTAAATATTTTAATAAAAAGCATCAATAATTATGGTTCTGATTCATCCCCTGTGTGATTTGTTAAATAGATTTCTGCCAACAACGGAAGGCGTCCCCACCAGCCTTGCTCACGATGCCTCGCTGGCCAGTCTGTAAGTGCCTTCACCTCCGAGCTGTGACATCAAAGATAGGCTTGTTCCTAAATATTAGATCCATAAAGCAAAGTTCATCAAAACCACAATTCCGTTTCCCAGGAATGAGGAGTGTAAATAAAGGGAAGAAGGTTGACGGAGCCGATCTGGAGCTAGGCACCAACTCCGGGGCGTCTGGCTACGGCTCAGGAAGAGAAGTCACAGACGTGTCTGGAAGGTCTCCTAGAAAGCTCAGTTGGGAAAGTAGCCAGCCCTTTGTGGAGAGAAAAATGCCCCTTTCCCAGCTGCCCTGAGAGCTGGCTGAAAACATGGGACTTTGAAGACAGTGTCGCAGAGGAAAGGACCTAACCGTCTTCCTTAAGGTTATAGTTACATAATAGACAACTGCTTATAAAATACAGGCATATGTATACATACGAGCGCATTTACACACACGTAGATATGCACACATGCACAGACGTGTATGTAGGGACACACACATCAACATGTATGTTCAGAGGAGCCATGATGCTTCTTTGCTTCCATCTCTCCAAACTTCTCTCCTTTCTCCTCTTCCCCTCCCCCCAAAGAAGTCAGATAAGCCCCAGGTTTGGCCGGGAAGAACAATGGCCTGAGCCCTTTGCTCTGTCAAGGCAGCTGCAGTTCACAAGTGCTTGCACCCTGAAGAGTTCACTTCTCTCCAGCACTTGGAGGATCTCAAAGCACCTTCTGGGCAGGGGCCTGGCGAGGCAGAGAACACCAGTCATTTTGCCTCCTTTGACTGAGGAAGACACTGAGGTTCAGGAGACGAAGGGGCTTGTGTGTGTGTGTGTGCACTCAGGCGGTTGCTTGTGGTTTAGAGGGAATTCAGACCCGGGGCTCTGGACGGAGAGTTCATCTCTCGTCCCCCCTGCCCCGTGCCTCAACATAAGGACGGGAGTCTCCCCGGCCCACTTGTGCAATGCTGTTATTGTTGATGTTTTCAAATGGCCTTTAAAGCAAGTTTGTGTGTGTGTGTGTGTGTGTGTGTGTGTGTACACATGTGTGTATACATACATGTACATATATGTGTATATAAAAAGTACACATACGTGCATATTACGGATTCGTGTATATCCACACACACTATGTCTGTCTGTGGAGGAGCAGGCTTGTGATTTTATTATTATTGGGAACTCCCACGAGCATCTTGAAGCTCCCCACCCAAGGCACGTCTCCCTTGTCTACAACTCAGAGCCTTCGAGAACTCCCGGGATCCTCCCAGGATCCTCCCAGGCTCGGGGACTGGCTCAGTTATTTAACCAGGGAGGGCCAGGGGCAGGATTTGAAGCCAGGGCTGCCTTCTTAAAGGAGCAGCACTTTCCCCTCGGGGGCCCGCTGCCTCTGCAAGTTCATGTTCCTTCAGTGAGCCGCAATAGCCTTTGCACAGCCCGTTGTTAAGCTCCTACTGTGTGCTAGATGCTCCCACTTAGTCCTGTGGCTACCGAGAAAGAACCAGTTGTCTGCCCTCAAGAGGCTCATATCCTTTTCCCCTTTGCTGTTGAAGCGAATGCCTTCCTACTGGGGTAAAATCAGCCTTAACCCCAGGCATGCAGAAAGGGACCGAGAGCTGGAATGGACCTTGGAGGCCTCTAGACCAGCTGCCCCATTGTACAGATGAGGACAATGAGGCCCAAAGAAGTGATCTGCCCAAAGTCATAGCGGTATACTGAGTTGGAACTCGGGTCCTCTGATTCAAATGCTCTTCTCACCTAGAAAACAAGGTTTTTGTTTTGCTTTTAAAAGATTCTCCCTCAAAATTCTCAGCCCCAGAGAAAGAGTGTTTTTCTGGTTTTGACTGGCAGAGGAGTGTCAGCATATTACTTACGCTAATCAGTTAACACCTTTTGTGTCCTCTTGCTTCCTCAAAAAGACAGGTCATTTCAAGGAATGGCCTGAGGAAAAAGGTTTTCCATCTAAGGCCTAGTGACCCCTAGTGACAGCTGTCACCCTGCTAAACCTCTGGCCCCCTCAGCTGAGAAGGGACATTCTGCACCTTGGCAAGAAATAAGCTCAGGCTAGACGCTGTCTGGCAAAAGCAATGGTTTCTTCTTCTTTGGAGGCCCCCTCCTGGTTGGAGGCTGCTTCCTCTGCAGCCCCTCCCAGCTGGGGCAGCTGGAGGAGGAGCTGAGGACAGGCTCCCACTGCCTTGGGATTGGGGTTAGCCAGACTCAGCTGGGTCCTGTGGTGGGAAGGGAAGTGAGGAGCCACAGGGAACCTCCTGGCTGTGCCAAGTAACCTTCGCTCCACCCAATCCAGCAAACATTTATTGAGCACCTACTCTGTGTCAGGCGTAGAAGGTTCCAAGGAAAGAAAGATCCCTGCCCACCTTCCCATCTCCACCTCTACCTTTGAAATGCCCTGGAATAGTTTCTCTTAAAAATAGGGGACTTAGACTTTGTGCGCCCCATCCTCTTAGGACAAGTAGAAACATGTTCTTTTGTTTTTGTTTTTGTAATTTTTGGCTGGGCAATGGGGTTAAGTGACTTACCCAGGGTCACACAGCTAGTGTGTGTTATATGTCTGAGGCCACATTTGAACTCGGGTCCCCCTGAATCCAGGGCCGGTGCTCTATCCACTGCGCCACCTCTCGGCCCCATGCAGAAACATGTCCTGAGGACGCAGGCCACTCCATCCTCCATTGCTGACAAGGGGTCAGGGTGGTCGGTGCTACCGCTGCTTTCACCAGCCCTAGGGTCTCTTCTTTTATTCAGAGATAGGGAGTGGACCTAGAAGCAGGAAACCTGCCTCAGTACATAAAGGTGTCATTTTTGTGGTGGTTAATTTCCCACTTGCTTTTCCATTTACATTTCAGAAACTGATGCGTGTGTGGGGGGGTGTTGTATGACTTTTTTTTATATTTGTAGCTATTTTCAGCACAATTTTACATAGGCAGAGTTGTCTTAATATTTACATCCACTTTTTCTAAACCTTATGTAAATAAAGAATGAAGTGTGAATTTGGAAAGCCGTGCCTTTTGGCATTTGGACAGAAGAGATCATTTTATATCTTCTTTTTCTAAAGCCATAGCTACTTTCTATTGCGGGATCTGGAAAAGGTAGTTTGGGGGCCCAGTGGAGAGAATGGCAGGCCTGGAGTCAGGCCCTCCTCAGCTGTGGCTTAGCATTGGGATCTTGGCTTGTCAGCCTCCTTTCCTCTTTAATAAAAAGGAGATAATAATGTGTGGGACAGAGACCACTACTCAAATTCAAAACAAAGACTTAGTCACCTGGAAAGCAGAAAGGAGGGGCAGCTAGGTGGCGCAGTGGATAGAGCACCGGCCCTGGAGTCAGGAGGACTTGAGTTCAAAATCCGGCCTCAGACACATAACACTTACTAGCTGTATGACCACGGGCAAGTCACTTAACCCCATTGCCTAGCCAAAAAAAAAAAAAAAAAGCAGAAGGGAGTTGATTGCTTTCTCATGAGAAAGGGTACCAACCCTGGTCGCCCTAATGGCACCGGCCAGGGAGGACGAGTATGTACAGAAAGCCCATTGGCTGGGCTTCAGGGGGCACAATCTATTCACAGAAATCTTCCCCAGCAACAGAGTTACACAAGTTTGCCCAGAGACAAGAAAAGGTGGGAAGTCTTGCAGTTTAGGTTGGGGGTGGGATGGGGTAGGGCTATTCTCTTAAAAACAGGGTCTGAGGGGGTTTTGACAAGGTCAGAAGGGAGTGTTTCAACAATACAATTAGAAGGCCATCTACAGCAGGTGCCTCCAACTTCTCTCCTCCCGCTCTCTTACTGTCTGGCTTCTGACCTTACCTCTCTCCCATGACCAGTGATCTCCTAATTGCTGCCCTTTGTGAGAACTGTTAACAAGAAGGATTAACCCTCTGAGGAGGCTTCACTTCTGAGAGGTCACCTCTCACAATAATGTCCCCTAAATCACCAGGTCATGGTGAGGAAGCTATATGTAAAACACCATAAACACGTTAGCTATTAGGAAGAACAACAGTAATCAATGTAGCTTATTTTCTTTTAAAGTTCAAAGACAGAATTTCTTGTTCAAAAGATGGAAAACAAATCTGCCTCCCCCGCCTCCAGATTTGGCCAGAGATTTCAGTCACTCAGCAGGGGCATTATCTCTTAGGCAGACAATTTTGCAGGGAAATTCTTACAAACGTCCTCGTCCTCCACCCCCGTGCTCTCTCACCCCCCGCATGTACACCTCGGTGGTCTCCTGGCCTAGATCAGGCCGAATGAGTTGTGGGCAGCCCATGAGCAAAGTCAAACCAGCCAGGTTACTGCCTTACCCAGTATACTTTCCTTTCTTCCCACAAACATCCCACATGTCTTTGGGAAGGCTCCCCAGTGAGTCTGGTGAACCAAAACAGCCCAAAGCAAGTAAAACCTCAGGCTTCTGAGCAATTGGTATCAAAGCCCTCGTGACTCCTGGCCTTGAGGTCAGTGAGAAGCCAGCGGTAACAAAGAGATCACTCCTCTCCTTTATCTGGGGGGAGCTCTGGCTGATGCCAATTAGGGAGGCTTAAGAGGCCGACAAAAGGTCTCCAAAATCAACGAACAAAGACTTTAGAAAGAGTAGAGGATTTGGAGGGAGAAAGCCCCAGGCCAAGAAGATAGCTCACCTAGCTGGGCTTGCTTTGGGGGGGAGTGTTGGTGGGGAGCAAGATGGGGGAAGGGGGAGATAATCATTCCACCACTACACTGTTGGCCATTATTGGAGGTTAACAAAGGGTTGCTAGAATCCTCACAAAAGAAGGGCAGCCTTCCAGTCTTCTCCAGACAGCTCAAAGGATGTTATGAGAGCTAGGGATGGATGTGTGCGTGATGTGGTCAGATTTATCAGAGCAGCTACATGCTGTATCTCACTTGGGCCTCGCAGGGTGGTCATAACACCCAGGCAATTATCATCTCCATTTGACAGAGGAGGAAACTGAGTCTTAGCAGGGGAAGTGACTGGTCTCAGAGCCTGGTTCAGCCAGGTCCTCTTGCCTCCTTGTTTGGCACCCTGCCCACTCTGCCACTCTCCTAAGGATCCTTCCTCCGAAAAGAGGGGCGCCATGAGTAAGCTTGTGTTGAGCCGTGCTCTGCATCACCAGGTTGGGGTTCTCAGCCAAACATGCTTTAGTGTTTGGGGCATGGACCAGACACTCCAAAGGTGCCATTCTATGTGGGGTTCCAGCCAGAAATGAGCCCTCTGCTCAAAGGGTGACCCTAGAAAAGTATGTTTTACGGACAAAAGGCACCTCAGTGATATGGTGGCCAGGGCACTGGAGTCCAGAAGGCTGGCCTCAGACACTAGCCATGTGACCCTGGGCAAGTCATTTCATCCTGTTTGCCTCAGTTCCTCATCAATAAAATGAGCTGGAGAAATGAGCTGACAGTATCTTTGTCAAGAAAACCCCAAATGGGGTCATGAAGAGTCAGACAGGATGGAAATGACTGAATAACACCACCACCAACAAAATCAGGTCTTTATCATGCATGATGATGTTGGGGGTGGGGGATGGCATCCTGTGGTGGCCTCTGATTATGTCATCTCCCTGTCTGTTCGAAAAAGAATCCTATAGAGCACCAGCCCTGAAGTCAGAAGGACCTGAGTTCAAATGCAGTCTCAGACCAAACACTTGACACTTACTAGCTGTGTGACTTTGGGCAAGTCACTTAACCCCAATTGCCTAAGGGGAAAAAAAAAGAATTCTACTGTGTGTGAGGAGCTAGTGGAGATTTCTGGGGTGGGGGTGGGAGTGGAATCAAAGGACATCCCAGCGGGTTAATAGTGACGATTTTTTATGGCATTAGGATGAAGAACAGGGGAGGAGTAGCCATTTGTCAAAATGGAGCAAAAAGCAAGAAAACCTTGGGCTCTTCATTCCCATCAAGTGATCCTAACAGCATTTGTGTAGTACTCTGTGGCTTAGGAAGCACTTTGCAGGTGCTGTCATCAACCCTGGGGGGCAAGGGCTATTATTACTCTCATCTGATATGTAATAAAACTGGGCTTGCCCAGGCCCATGTGGTTAAGTAGTGTCCGAGGCAGGATTCGATTCGGGGTCTTCCGGACTCCAAAGGCAGTGTTCTATCTACTGTACCGCTACACTGCCAAGAAAGAGGGAAAAAAGGAAAGAACGAAATCGATGGAGCATTTATCAGACACTTAGGATAGATATGTCAGGCCCTCTGCTAAGCCCTGGGGATAGAACTGGGAGAAGCTAGCCAGGCCCTACTCTCAGGCACTCACATTGTAAATGGGAGAGATGATCGGGGAAGAAAGCTCAGAAGGCTCAGCTACAGTCTATACAGAAGCCCAAGGGTCCTTAGGTTCATGAGGAGGTCAGATGGAGGACTGGTGTGCAGGGCAGAGAGACAGTGCCCCTGGCGAGGCCCAGAGGTCCTGGGGCAGAGGGGAAGGCCTGCTACTCCTCCATCTCATCAAAAGAAATAGGACTGCTGACTACAGCTCTCTCATTCAAGCCCTGTGCCACAGTGGCCTGGTGGCCGCTGTGGTGAAGAGGGCAGGGGCCAGGGAATGTGAATCTTCTCACTATCTGACCATCTCGGATGGGGTCTCCTAGGAGGAGTGACCTAGCTCAGTGACCGAAGGGCCGGGCACCCAAAGGTTGACCACCAAGGGTGATCTTAGGGTCACAGTCAGCAAGCATTTGTTAAGTCCCTACTACGTGCCAGGCCTCAACAACTCCCGAAAGTCATTTTCTAAAGCCTGGTGAAGAGGAGTGGGGGAGGGGGAATAGAGAGGGTGGTGCTGAGGGAGGGAATGGTTGTACTTCAGATCTGAATCTTTTGAAGTTTAAAAACACTTAATTCATAGCCAGAGGGTGAAAGTCTAGGAGGTCAGGCCTGCACCAGACTCAAAGCAGAAAGCCCAACTTTTACTTCCCAGCGAAATCACAAGGGACTGAAAATTAAATGTCCTGAAGAGAAGAAATGATGGCTTTCAAATGAGAACTTTGGGCGTTGTAGGAAACCAGAAGGCTAGGGCGAGACGGAGAGAGCTCAGACCGCAAGGAGGGAACCATAGCCCTGCCCCTTCACGGTGGCCAAGGTCGGGCTAGCTGTGTCTCTTCCCCTCCTGTAGCCTCAATTTCTCCCTCTGTAAGATGAGGATTTGGATGAATCCGATTCTCTTCTCCTCTGTGATCCCTACAAAGTGTGGCATTGTCACGATGGTCCTGTGATGCGTCCCGCTTCTCCTGGGGTCTTTGCAGAGAAAGGCCCTTCTGCCTTGTGACCGTGGTAGGCCTCGTTGGGCAGGCCAGCTGTAATACACAATAGCCTCACGAGGTCTGTTAGTGCAAAGCACAGTCGATAAGATGAAAGGTAAAGACCCAGTACAGAGAAACCAAGCAGCCAACACTTCTGTGTGTTAATGTGGGAGCTTCTCAGCAAAGCATGAAAGAAGTGAGCCTTCGGCAGATGCCTCGCTTCCCAGGCTGGCTGGGGATTGCTGCAGCTGGCTCCGCTGGAGATGACCCCAGCGAGGATGCCCTTGGGAAAGGCCTGCCAGGAGATGGGCATTGAGTGGG